AACTTGATCTTTTTTTTTTGTCAATTTATTGAAATATATTCATATATTTCAAAATTAATATTCATAACTTTGATCCTACAATCTTTAGGTGGGATATTGATGTTATAGATCAACTTCCAGAGTATATGAAATTGGTTTATCAGGCACTATTAAATGTTTATAGTGAGATGGAGGCAAAGGTTGCAAAAGAAGGAAGATCGTATGCTATAGATTATGCAAAAGAGTCGGTAAGTAACTAATTAGCATATTAATGATTTAATTCATGTTTTGGGGATTTTGGATTATGTGTTATTTTCATGTGGATGACTTAATTTTATGAATAGATGAAAAAAACAATGAAAGCTTACCTTGATGAAGCCAAGTGGCGCCAAGAGGACTATGTTCCAACTATAGAGGAGTATATGCAGGTTGCCCTCATTTCCTCTGCTTATCCAATGCTCATAACAAATTCCTATGTTGCCATGGGAGAAGTTGCAACCAAGGAGGCCTTTGATTGGATCTCTAATGACCCTAAACTGCTTAAAGCTTCCGCAACTATTTGTAGACTCATGGATGATATTTCCTCACATGAGGTATGCACAGTGCTTGGTTCTTATTAATTACAAATTTAAATTATGGGGTTAGTTAGCTTTGGTACTTGTTTAAACACTTGTGGGAGTTAACAACTAATTTCTTTTCCAACCAAATGCAGTTTGAGCAAACACGAGATCATGTTGCATCAGGTGTTGAATGCTATATGAAGCAATATGGTGTTTCAAGGGAAAAGACTGTGAAGTTGTTTCGGGAAGATGTTGCAAATGCTTGGAAAGATATTAATGAAGAGTTCATGAAACCAGCAATCTTTCCTATGCCTATACTCACTGTGGTTCTAAATTTTGCTCGTGTGATAGATTTCATATATAAAGACGGTGATAGCTATACCAACTCTCACACTTTGAAGGCCCATATTGAATTGTTGCTGGTGGATCCTGTTATTCTGTGAAGGAGTATTGATCCCTAGAAATCCATTTAAATAATTCTATAGCTTGTTATATAGCTTGAAGGTAATGTGTGGGATTGTTTTATATTTTGTTTTGTAATGTATGGGACTGTTCGTAATGTGCTTCGTTTATTAAAAGTTTGCTAATTAATAAAAATGCTTTATTGAAAATATTTGTTTATAACAATCATATATTATTAAATAAATGAGTACAAATCGTTTTTATATATCTCATTAATTTATATAATCATTATCAACAAATGTCAATTCATTATCAATGGGTGAAAAGAATTAATAAAATTATTACTATAA